CTCCCTCATCAACATTGGTTCAAGAAAATGAACCACAGCCTGTTCCCAGGCCAGTGGATGGAGACCATTTTTCAGTTGACATTTTCTCTGTCCAGGTGTGTCACTCTAGCTTGCGTCAAGTTGACAAAGACTAACCATCACAGCCCCCAAGTCTCACGGAAGCTCTTGAATGTGATGTTCCATGCATGATGACAGTCTTGGCATTATTTTCTCCGTTCATGGGGGAGGGTGCATCTACACTGACTTTTTTTCATTTCTAATTATCTTTTGGGTTTAATAATAATGAATAAAGTTTAATAAGCCTTGAGCCTTAGAGGCGGCCCCATTAAATTCACTCATTGCTGAGCTAGGCCAGCCAGGCGGGGCATCAGTGGGGTAGAAGGATTCATCTGGGCTGTGAACTGACATAGACCAGAGCCATCCTTCTGATTCTTATTAACATATAGAACTATGTTAATGTTAATGACCGTGTTATTCACATTGACCTTGGAGCTGAAATCCATCAGTTCTCTTCTGGATGGATGAATGTAGCAGACCACGACACTGTGAACACCCAGGCCTGTGCTGTATTTCAGGAACTGTGCACATCTCAGATGTCAGCTAGGAAAAGCTTTCTGTAAATCTTCGCCCACACACTCTTCCTTGACCCACAAGCTGTAAGTTGATAATTATAGAGAATGTATGTATATGTGACTGCGGGGTGGGAACACTTGTATTTTGCCTTCATTGTCTACGATTGGATGCCAGCATTTCTGCTCATACAGGCACGCTCTCTCTTTGCCGTGGAGATTTTGCAGATCTCTCTATTTAGTGTTGTCCAGCTCTCTGTTGGAAATCCTTCTAATCTGATGTGTCTCACGGTGTGTCCTTGACAAACGAGGAGAGATGGTCCCGGGACCCAGCGTCCTGGGAGCTGACTGAGATTCCAGCTGTGTTCTTTTGAGACATGTGTCTTACTCACTTGGGCCTGAGTTATCTGATGTGTGGAGTATGGATGCTGGCGTCGAGCAGGTTTGATGTGAGAACACTCACCTTGGCCAGCAGACTGGGGTTGATTGGACAGACCACAGTCCATTAGGGCCAAGGCTAGTTCCAGCGTAGTAGTCCCTTCACAATCTCCATTGCTTAGCTCAGGCTTTTGGCACAGAAGGGCTATGAGTTCGTGTTTCTCCGTTGAGAAGTTGCTAAATAAATAACCTATTTCACAAACTGTGGAGGCCCACAAAGGTTTCCTAGTGAGATCTGAGCTTGCTTTACCCAGCAGAGTCACATTAGAGGATCGCTTGACCATGTGCGTCATTACTAGGGGTTCGGAAGGGTCTGCATCTGGCTGAGCTAGGGGACGGTCTTTGCTTCTTTAGAAGAGAAAGAAGGGGCTGGTGGCTAAGGATGCAGACCTTCCTAGCTATCCCGTGTTTCTATCCGTCTCCTTCCCCTCTATCCTTCTATCTCAATATTTCTCAGTTCTCCCTCCTCAGGAGTACCCTGGGGTGAAAATGGGAGTGGGTCTCGCACAACAAACCCAAACAAGATTGCTGGAGTAGGGCTGGGAGGTGGCTTAGATGATAAAGTGTTGTGTGCCAAAGCGTGATGGTCAGTCAGCCTAAAGCATCCAGTGTGAAGGGCAGGAAGAGACGCCAGTGTAGGAAACAAGGTGGACAGCGCCATCAACCAAGGTTGTCCTCTGGGCACATGTGTCCCCTGTGCCTGTTTCCTCGTGTTTTGTCACTAGAGAGAACCTGCAGCCCAGCCCAATCCCAGCCAAAGCCCAGCCGAAGCCCAGCCCAGGCCCCGCCCAGACCCCGCCTAAGCCCAGCCCAAGCCCAGCACAGTCACCGCCCAGGCCCAGCCCAGACCTCACCAAGCCCAGCCCAAGCCCAGCCCAAGCCCCGCCCAAGCCCCGCCAAAGTCCAGCCCAAATTCCGCCCAAGCCCCACACAAGCCCAGCCCAAGCCTCGCCCAGGACCCGCCCAAGCCCCACACAAGCCCAGCCCAAGCCCAGTCCAGGCCCCGCCCAAGCCCCGCCCAAGGCCCGCCCAGGGCCCCGCCCAGCAGCTGTCTAACTGAAAGCGATTCCCACTGAGCACAATGCAAGTCAAAGCAATTAAATGTAAAGGTGACATTTCTTCATGCCTTGAGTAGGGTTCAGGAAAGATTGAGACCGCTGTTTAGATACATACTACTTATGGTCGAAAAGCATCTATATGTACATTTAAAAAGGACAAATTGTTTCTTTCACTCCTGTTCTGGGGTCTAAACATCACAGAACAAGGCTGTGTGTAACTGCTTGATTGTGATACTGGAGTGGGAGCTGGAGAATGGCCTGCAGCAAGCCCTTTTTGCATGGGCTAAGGGAGAGAGGGAGTGACTGAGCTTGTGACTCAGTGTAACAAGACTAACAAAACCTGCAGGTCATATGACCGGAGTCGACCCCCCTGGGTCCAACAGCCACTTGAAGCCGTGCCCCCTGTACCCCCTGCCAGATACATTCCATTCCTTCCAGTAAGGATGTGTTTGTTTCCTAAGGTTTTGTGTTTTCCTTTCGGGAGCTGAGCTGAGCTGAGCTGAGCTGAGCTGAGCTGAGCTGAGCTGAGCTGATTTTCTTTCTGTGTATCTTTCCCTGTGTGGAGTGGGGTTTGTTCTCAGACAGTTCCCTTTTGTTCTTAGACCCTTCATTGCTCCAGGGAATGTTTCCCATGTCAACCCTTTCAGGACCCCCTGGAACAATAGTGTTTAACCTAGTGTGCTCCTTGCCCTGGGACAATTCAATTAAAATAACACTCCCTTCTTCTACTAATGACAATTCTTTCAGTGTGCCACAAGGATGTGTAATCTTTCATTATTCTCACATCTTCATCAATTTCTAAAATATGTTTTTATAATCGATCTGAGTCTGTCATACCCTGAAGTAGAAAAGTTATCTTCCCTCCAAATAATAGCCATCAAAGTGTCCGGAGGGTCACAATTAGCAATGTTTAAGAACCTGAGTTTGTCTAAATATTTGTTGTTACAAAGAAAAAAACGCAAAATTAAAAGAATATAAATTTGCAAAGAAAAGCGTGAGTAGAATTCTGCCCCCCAAATTCTTAGTTGCACTCAGATATTTTAACAATTTATTTAAGAAGCACTATGAGCTACGTTTGTTGATGAGTATTCTACTGATAGAACTAAACGTTTAGAAGCGAAACCTGATGGGAAATAGGCTCGTGTGTCTACATCTAATCCGACTGTGAATATATGGTGGGCTCATACAATGAATCCTAGGAATCCGATAGATAGTATAGCTCATACTATGCCCACATCACCACACGGCTCTTTTTTGCCTGAGTAGTATGGTACAATATGTGAGATAATCCAAATCCTGCTAGAATAAGAATGTAGACTTCAGGGTGACCAAAGAATCAAAAGAGGGGTTGATATAGGATTGGGTCCCCTCCTCCAGCAGGATCAAAGAAAGCTGTGTTTAGATTTCGGTCAGTTAACAGTGTAGTAATTCCTGTGGCGGATACTGGCTGGGAGGGCAGTAATACAACAGCTGTGATGAGGACAGATCCTACGAATAATGGGGTTTGATACTGTGTTATGGCTGGCGGTTTTATATTAATAATAGTTGTGATAAACTTAATCGCCCCTACAATTGAGGATATGCCTGCTAGGTGGAGGGAGAAGATGGTGAGATCTACCGATGCCCCAGCGTGTGCTAAGTTACCAGCTAGAGGGGCACGCACAGTTCAACCTGTGCCGGCCCCCCACTTCTACTATAGATGATGCTCGTGACAGGAGGAATCGGGGCGGGAAAAGTCAAAATCTTAGGTTATTTACTCGTGGGAACGCTGTGTCTGGGGCCCCGACTATTAGAGGCACTAATCGATTGCCAAAGCCTCCGATTATCATTGGTATTACTATGAAGGAAACGATGACGGATGCATGGGCGGTTACAATTACATGGTGGATTTGGTCGTCACCTAGGAAAGCTCCAGGTTGCCCTAGTTCTGCTCGAATTAGGATGCTTAAGGCTGTACCTACTATTCCTGATCAAGCCCCAAATAGAAGACACATGGTTCCGATGTCTTTGTGATGGGTAGAAAATAATCAACGATTAATGAACATCGGTAAAATGGCTGAGTTTAAGCATTTGACTGTGAATCTAAAGACAGAGGTGATTCCACTTTTTACCAAGCCTTCAGGTGATACTCATGTCGAATCGCAAATTCGAAGGTGTAGAAAACTACTCTACTAAGGCTTCTCCCGCCCCCTTTCTGATAGGCGGGAGAAGTAGATTGAAGCCAGTTTAGGGTGTTTAGCTGTCAACTAAAAGTTCATGGGTTTAATTCCTATCGATCTAGATGAGGACTTAGCTTAAGTAAAGCGATTGGTTTGCACTCATTAGATGTAAGGTGTAGTCCTGCAGTCCTCATTCAGAAGTTAAACTCTTTGGTTTACTTCGGGCTTTGAAGGCTCTTGGACTTTTTATCCTGAACTTCTTGACGTGATCAGTAGCGGGGAGAGCGGGAGCGTTATGGTGCTGAGGATTGCTGTGGAGGGGAGGAGGATGTTGTTGTGCTGGTTGGTGTGGTGGAGGGATAGTTTGGAGCTGTTATGTGTTGGGAATGTGGTTAGTGTAGTTGAATACATGAGTCGTGTATAGAAGAATAGGTTAAATAAAGCTGTGATTGCTATTGGTGTGGCTAGTAAGATATTGTTTTTTAGCGGCTCTGAGATGATAACCCCTTTTTGCAGACATCCTGTTAGTGGTGGTAGGCCTCCTGTGCATAGTAGGATGATAGAAATTGCTGGTAGCATTATTGGTGTTTTGTTTCATGTAAGTGATAGGGAGTTAATGTGAGTGGATGAGTTGAGTTTTACTATTATGAATGTTGGTACTGTTAGGCTAATAGAGATTAATAAATTTAATAATAAATTGAATAGACAGAAATCGACCTGGATTACTCCAGTCTGAACTCAGATCACGTAGGACTTTAATCATTGAACAAACAAACCATTAATAGCTTCTACACCATCGGGATGTCCTGATCCAACATCGAGGTCGTAAACCTAATTGTCGATATGGACTCTTGAATAGGAGTGCGCTGTTATCCCTAGGGTAACTTGGTCCGTTGATCAAAAATTTTGGGGGGCCAATTGGATATAAAATGCTTAGACTTGTGTGTCTTAGCTAAAACCATTCGGAGGTTTTTTTATTCTCCGAGGTCCTTTTTATTCTCCGAGGTCACCCCAACCGAAATTTTAACTTAGGTTTTTGCCTGTTTAGTCCAGTAGGTGTTTTGGTTTAAAATGTTAAGTTAGTAATGAAAGCTCCATAGGGTCTTCTCCTCTCATTTTTTTTTTATTCCCGCCTCTTCACGGGAAGGTCAGTTTCACTGATTGGAAATAAGAGACAGTTGAAGCCTCGTTAAGCCATTCATTCTAGTCCCTAATTAAGGAACCAGTGATTATGCTGCCACCTTTGCACGGTCAGGATCCCGCAGCCGGTTAACGTTAGTCACTGGGCAGGCAGTGCCTCTGATACTTGGTATGCTAGAGCTGATGTTTTTGGTAAACAGGCGGGGTTCGTTTTGCCCAGTTCCTTTGATTTCTTTTCATCTTTCCATTATGCACCCCTGTGTCAGATTAACATGTTTTATTAGGTGAGTTTTATGCGTAGGTTAGTCGCCTTGCGGTTGTTAACTAACAATGGTTATCCGGGTTGTTATAGTTTTGTGCGTGGAGAATATAATTCTTGTTACTCATATTAACAGTATCTCATCTATATGTTAATAGATGGACCCAATTTTATATATAGGAATTCGCCTAATGAATTTTGGTATTATAATATTTTAAATGTTGAGCTTGAACGCTTTCTTTATTGGTGGCTGCTTTTAAGCCAACAATGGTTTAGGTGTGTGTAGAGCTTATTCACTATCGAAGGGTTTTCCATTCCTAAAGAGCTGTCCCTCTTTAGGCTATGTTTTAAGTTTACATTTGGATTTTTATGTTCTTGTTGGTAATCTTGAAGTTGAACTAAGATTCATTATTGGGTAACCAGCTCTCACCAAGCTCGTTAGGTTTTTCGCCTCTACCTGAAAGTCATCCCACTATTTTGCTACATAGACGGGTGCATGCTTAAAATTGCTTTTAGGTAGCTCCTTTGGTTTCAGGGTTTCTAGCTAGAGTTCTTCTAGTTAGATGTTTCCTAGTTAATTCACTATGCAAAAGGTACAAGGTTTAATCTTTGCTTGTTTGTGCTTAAGTACTGGTCTTTGTTCTTCCCTTACGGTACTAATCTCTATAGCTCCTATAAAAAGTTTCTTTCTCCAATACTCCTTTTTAATAAATATTTTCATTTATTAACTAGAATAGTTATACTTGTGTTGGGTTAGGGCTGAATAACTGCTCAAAGCGTCCATTGTTTATGGAATCTTCTGGGTGTAGACCAGATGCTTTCTGTGAATTAAGCTACGCTGTGGTTATTCCAAGCACACTTTCCAGTATGCTTACCTTGTTACGACTTATCTCCTCTCACAAACTTGTCTGCTGGATTATGTATTAATTTTGTTAGTCATTTAATTTGAGGAGGGTGACGGGCGGTGTGTACGTACTCCATTGCGCTATTCAATTAAGCTCTCTGTTCTTAATTGACTACTAAATCCTCCTGTGGCCTTATGTGTCAATAAGGGTATCGTAACGTTCTTTTTAAGGAAATGAAGCCCATTGCTTCCCATCTCATGAGCTACACCTTGACCTCACGTTTTTATGGTGATTCTCTTGCTTACTTTTATTCCTTTTTAAGGTTTGCTGAAGATGGCGGTATATAGGCTGAATTAGCAAGGGATGGTGAGGTATAACAGTGTTTATCGATTATAGAACTGGCTCCTCTAGATGGATACAAAGTACCGCCAAGTCCTTGGAGTTTAAGCGGCGGCCAGTAGTTCTCAGGCAAATGACTTTGTTATCTAATCTTTAAAGTTTAGGGCTAAGCATAGCGGGGTATCTAATCCCAGTTTGGATCTTAGCTATCGTGTATTAAGTTGGTTAGAATTACTTTCGTTACTGAGTTTAGTCCCAACGATGAATTTTCACATAATGGTTGGTTTTTAATTCTATTGTCCCCCCCCCCATGGACACGTTTTACGCCGTAGAATAATTAATTTGGGTTAATCGTATGACCCCGGTGGCTGGCACGAAATTTTCCAACCCTTGAGAGGTATAACTTAGTCAGACTTTCATTCACTGCTGAGTCCCGTGAGGGTGTGGCTAGGCAAGACGTCTTTAGCTATTAATATGTACTTGATGCCCTCTCCCTAGGTTTTGAATAAAGCTTGGGATTTGACACTGGTTTAAGAATTTTTGCATGTATAATTTTACCTCTAGCTAATTATAAGGCCAGGACCAAACCTTTTGTGTTTATGGGATAAGATTATCCATCTAAGCATTTTCAGCCCTTTGCTTTATTAATAAGCTACATAAGCTATATGCATATGTACTGGCTGTGTTAAATGATATTACAGTGACTAGTAAAAAGCATATGTAAGGTGTGTGTATAAAAATTTTTCCAATACTACATTTGAAGTCTTGTTTTATAAATTACTAGGAGGGTGGAGAAGCCTATATTACATTCCTTGCTTTTGGGGTTTGTCAGGGGGTTAATAATTGAGCTGAGCTGAGCAATGTCTTTCATTATTCTCACATCTTTATCAATTTCTTAAATGTATTTTTATAATTGATTTGACTCTGTCATACACTGAAGTAGAAAAATTATCTCCCCTCCAAATAATATCCATCAAAGCGCCCGGAGGGTCACAATTAGCAATGTTTAAGAACCCGAGTTTGTCTACATTTTTGTTGTTACAAAGAAAAAAAAGCCAAAATAAATGAATATAAGTTTACAAAGAAAAGCGTGAGTAGAATTCTGTCCCCCAAGTTCCTAGTAGGACTCAGATATTTTAACAATTTATTTAAGAAGCACTATGATTGAGAAAAAAAAACTTTTGCTACATATTCATTTTCAATTACGCCTTAAGTGGAACATCTCCTTCACCCCAGCTGTAGTGAGCCGAATCACTTTGGCCAAATTGCTTTCAGCCTGATCAGACGCAATTCCTTAATATAGAGCCTCCTGTAACTACGAGCAATTAATGGAAGCAGCCTCGAAGGTTCTCTTTCATTAGAGAGATTGTCTTCGGGGATCAGTCACTTTTATGGAGTCTGTGAGTAATACAGAATACAGAACAGTTTCCAACTGTCAGTTGTGGGGGCATTCCTTCCTTTCTGTTGCTTGTTTAAAAGGTCTTGGTTGGGTTGGAAATATGGCTTAGTGGTAGAGAGATTGGCTATTCATGTTGGAGCTTAATGAATGTGTGTATGTGTGTGTGTGTGTGTGTGTGTGTGTGTGTGTGTGTGTGTGTGTGAGAGAGAGAGAGAGAGAGAGAGAGAGAGAGAGAGAGAGAGAGAGAGAGAGAGAGAATATAGAAAACTGACTGCTCAGAGCAAACATCCTTGAGAATAAAGACTATTGACTATAATCTCATTTCCAGCATTAGGGACTTATGTGAAAGCTATCTCTTCTCGGGAAAGCGGGAAGGCTCAGGGAGAGAGTACTTGCTTGTTTAAGCTCTTTGTGAGCAGTAATGCCCTTTGAAAATGATCTCTCATGTGATTTTAACATTACAAGAAACATTTTCTTAGTTAATCACGAGTTCAAAGTTTCACGGGCTAATATTCTCACCATTAAAAAGCTCGTGTAATTTTCAGGTGTCCTAATTTATTACCGGGAGTGATTAAGACCATGAAAACACTGAGCTTCAGTCCCATCCTGCTTCTTAAGGCTGAGCACAAAAGGCCACTCAGTTTCTGCATGGTTACCACTAGGTGGGGACAGTGGCTGCAGCTGCTTCTGCACCAAGCTAAGAATAGAAAGCTTTTCTCAGATACAGGGAGGACCACAATCCGGAATGCGCCTGCTAATTGTAAGCCGCCTCTTTACAAGAGGAATTGCATTTAATTGCAGGGACCTCTCGCCTCCATGTCACACCTGTTCTGCTCTGGGATAGCCCATTGCAGGTCCCTACACCTTCTTCTCTCTATTGCATTCCTTCTTCCGGAGGAAAGCTGCAGATGACAGCGGTGCTGAGGTGTGGGTGAGGGCAGAGCAGAAGACAGAGAGTGGGCGATCTGGGAAGACAGGAAAAGGAAGGAAGGGGAGGACATTAACAGCTCGATGCTTTATCTCAACGACGGGAGAGCTGATGGTTAACACCCCAAAGACGCATCTTAAGATGTGTGTCTGTTGCCAAGAAGGGAAAAGACAAATGCAGGAAGCCTGGGTAGGCACTTGGGACCTGACACTTTTGATGAGAGTTGTGGACACACAAACTGACTTAACCTTGCGTGTGTGTGTGTGTGTGTGTGTGTGTGTGTGTGTGTGTGTGTACACATATATGTGGGTGGGTGCCCAAGATGCCAGAAGAGGAAGTTAGATCCCCGGAACTGGGGTCACAAAGCAGTTGTAAGCTGCCTGACCTGGAACTAGAACCAACCTTGGGTGGGCTGCCAGACCAGCAAGGGCTCTTAACTGCTGGTCCACGGCTTTCACCTCGTCCACGTTGTTTTTGATGTGACTAAGACGACAAGGGCCCACCAGTAAGACTTCACTGTGCAGCCTGTGACAGGCCAAAGACGGTGGTCACCTTTAGGGGTTCTGGTTTCCAGAATACCAAGGCTGACGGGTTTTGACTATGGACTTCATAAAAAATGTTATTCTCAAATTTTTACATATTAAACATTGTGAACATTTATAACTGCTTGAAAAAAAAAACCCACTATTTCCGTCAAGAAAATGGTCTGAAGCATGGTTCTTCACAGCTGTTAGAAAGCATTTGTTGTGGGCTGGGCTTGGTGGGGGGTTTCTAAGCTTTTCAGTTAGAAGACAGACTTAGGGCTGGAGCGGTGGCTCGGCCGTTACCAACAGTGGCTGCTCTTCAAGGACCAGGCTTCAGTTCCAAGCATCACCCACACCATGGCTTACAACTCCCTGGAACTCCGATTCCAGGGGAATCCAAGCCAACACTCTTCAGGCTTCCATGTGCACCAGGCACATGATGCAATACATACGTGCAAGCAGAACACTCAGACATAAAAAGTGAAATGAATCTTACGGCATTTGTGGCTGAATGGATTGATAGATTCAAGGTTTAACTCCCTAAGGTGAATTTGAGGAAGTCCACCATGCTCAGCTGACAAGTATGGCTCTCAGAGCCTCCTGTGGACCGATGAACAGGCTGTAGCCTTGCGTTTTGGGGGTATACAATAATGAACCACATCTGCCTTTTACTGCCCATTACATATGGGGTGTTTCTGAGTCTTCTAAAAGAAGACATAATCACGTTTTTTACTCTAGTCCCCGGAATGTAATCTTCTTTGGAGATTTAGAGATGGGTGTTTACTGAAGCAGTCAAATCATCCTGAACTCACCAGTTTGACAGATCCTGATCTTAGATTCCCACAGGGAGAATGCCCTGCAAGCATGGAGACCTAGTCTGCAGTGAAGGGTCGAGGCATGGGGCAGTCCTTGCCTGTAGGCCTTCAGAGGCGGCTGGGGCGTGTTGGCTTCACTGACCCCCACGGACAGCCTCTACAACTGGGAGGTAGCCAGCCATTCACTGTTGTTCAGCCATCTAATCTGTTTGCTTTCACGGCAGCCCTTGCAGACTAATGAGAATCAGCAAGACTCGTTCTGAAAACAGGGGTATGGTGACTTACAAGAAAATGCCTCCCCCCCCCCCCCGCCCCCGCGACAAAGGGAGTGCCACTATGAGGAGGTGTGGCTTAGTTGGAGGGGGTGTGGTCTTGTCAGGTGAAGCATGTCACTGTGGTGGCAGGCTCTGAGGTCTCTTTTGCTCGAGCTTTCCTCAGTGTGACCCTGAGACCATTTCCCGTTGCCTTCTGATCAAGATGTAGCCAGAAGCATGTCTGCCTGCACACCACCATGCTCCCTGCCATGATGGTAATGGACTGAACCTCTGAACTGTAATCTGCCACTTCAATTAAATGTTTTCCTTTGTAGGAGTTGCCGGGGTCGCCGGGCGGTGGTGGTGCACACCTTTAATCCCTGCAATCGGGAGGCAGAGCCAGGTGAATCTCTGTGAGTTCGAGGCCAGCCGGGTCTACAAAGTGAGTTCCAGGAAAGGTGCAAAACTACACAGAGAAACCCTGTCTTGAAAATCCAAAAAAAAAAAAAAAAAAAAAAAAAAAAGAGTTGCCGGGGTCATGGTGTCTCTTCACAGCAATAGAAACCCTAAGACAAGAGGCTTGTGTTAAATGTTGCAAATGGATCCAACACAGGAAACCAAAGCTGTGGGAATCGCAGGACCTGCAAGGAGCACCCATGAGGAAGAAACATGGCGGCTAGTCTTAGGAAGACAGTCTGAGGCTGGCAGAAGCCTGGGGCCACTGATCTCTGGTACAGATGAGCAGCAGATCCCCACTGGCTGATGAAACATGTGGGCCTGCTCTCCATTGGGCTAATCCTCCCGTTTTGCTTCCACCGGCTCTCAGTGGGTGGACTCAGGAGTAAACAGTGCTGGCAAGCTGGGGAGTGTGTTTTCTAGACTCTGTACCCCGTTCATACATGGAAGGAGCTAGGGACATTCCTGTAGTCGGAAGCTTTTCTTTGTCCTGCCTGGTCCCAAAGCCACTTTTAAAATGATCATTCAGAGGGCTAATATTAATTATACATGTTTGGCTGGTAGCTCAGGCTTATTACTAACTAGCTCTTACACTTAAATTAACCCATTTCTATAAATCTATATATTGCCACATGGCCCCGTGGCTTACTGGTTCTTTCACATCTTGCTTCTCTGGTGGCTTGCAGCATCTGCCTTGACTCAGCCCTTCTTCCTCTGTTTGATTGACCCACCTAACCTTATTCTGCTTGGCTATTGGCTAAAGCAGCATTATTTATCAACCAATGAGAGCAACACATATTCACAATGTACAGAAAGATCATCCCATAGCTCATTCCTGTGACTAAAACACAATATCCAACAAGATGCTATTACTCACAACTAGAAACCATCATGCTTAGTGCATATTTTTATACACACCACTCACAAACATGTGTGCCCACCCTCATTATGTGTCCTTTTGGAACGGTTTACAAAGTGGGGCTGTTAAGTCATTGTGGCTCGAATATGAAATGTCTGCCATGGGCTTCTATGTTTGAACACTTGGTTCCCTGGTGGCGGCACTGTTTTGGGAGACTGTGGAATCTTTGGGGCCTTAGGGTGTCACTAGCAGTTGGGGACTAGGGACCAGCCTGGGTATTGTAGCAGAGTCCTCCTTCTGGTTTCATTCTCTGCTCTCAGATCTACCATGATGTGAGGAGGCATCACCTCAGACGCCTCTACTATAGGCTGAACCTCTCTCCAAACACCACATCTTCCTGACCGTGATGGACAA